GCTACAGCTACCATCTTTTAGTCTCATACTTTTGGGCTCCAAGACTCAGAACTGATTGTCCTTCCATGAGCTCCTGAATTTTATTGGCTCCCTAGAGCGCCTACCCTATCATGCTCTGAGGAGCATTCCGTTCTGCAAAATTTCCTGGCATTGTACGTCTTACACAATGTGCACAATTCCTGGAGATAAAGCCTCAGATTTTATGACTTACATGTGATGACTGAATGTTCATTTACCCGTTTGTGTTTCCTGGGCTGTTATCACAGATCACACGTATAATAAATGTTCACAGCAATTCTGCTGTCCATTTTGGATCCTGGGTGAATAGAAGAGCTTTTGCTTTTACTTAAGATTTGAATGCTTTTCACTTTCACAAGTGGAAAGAGAAATTTGAGTAATAGGGCTTCTCCCTACGAAAACTCAAGGCTAGGCAGGATTTATCGAGTGCTCTGATACATCTTGGTTAAGACCAGAATGGGCAGCAAACACACACATATAAAATCACAGAATCTCAAAACAGGAGAGCCAAGGCAAAGCGACATGCCCAAAACTCCCAGTCAGAGACGCAGTTACTTGCAGATGTTTTCCAACTGGGGTCTGTATTTTTATTCCCCACAAGTCCCATGCACATTGTTCAGCCCAATTTTCAAGGTGATAGGAAAAACACCCCTGGGCTAAATCCAAGACACCATGTGTTTTTGTAAGTAAGTTTTACTGGAGCACAGCCAAACTCATTGTTTATCTGTGGCTACTTTTATGCTTTAAAGGCAGAGTGACACAGAGACAGTCAATGCAAAGCATAAAACATTTACTCCTGGGCCCTTTACAGAAAAAGTTTGCCAATCCCTGACCTAGAAGACCATAATTTTTAATTTCACTTCAAGTTGGTTTTGTTTAGTAACATTACAGAGATTTTCTTCTTTCCCTTCTGCCTCCCTTTCCCTCTCTCTCCCTCCCTTTCTCCCTTTTCCTCTCCCTCCCTCCTTCCCTCCTTCCTTCCTTCTCTCCTTCCCTCCTTCTTTCCTTTCCTCCTTTCTCTCTCTCCCTCTGTTCCCTTCCCTTTATTTTCTTCCTTCCCTCCCTTCCTCCCTCCCACTTCCTTCTCTCGTTTCCTTTCCCTTCCTTTCTTTTTCTTCCTTCCCTCCCTGCTTTCTTCCTTTCTCTCTCTCTCTTCCTTTGCTTTTTCTTCTTTTCCTCCCTTCCATCCCTCCCTGACTCCTTCCCCCTGACTCTCTTTTAAGAGCTAACAGTAGTTTAGGGAAAGAGCAATCTGGGATGAGCTGTGAAACAAATGGTCTCATAGGATTATAGGACAGTTCTTTTATACCAAGTTGGTGCTGTAAATCCCTATACAGTCCCCTATTTTTATAAGTGAAAAATTTAATGAAACACTTAAAAAATATAGAAAATGCAGAAAGAACAAGCAAACACTCTTATATCTACCACTCAGATTTTATAGATGTTAATAATTTATTATTTGTAGAAAAGCAATAAAACATTGCAGATATAGCTGAAGATCTATTTACACCCTTTCTTGGTCCCATTCTCCTTCTTCCTAAAAGGTAAATGCTATCTTGAACTTGGTATGAATTCTTCTAGTCTATGTTTTGATATTTTTACTACATATGTATGGGTACCCATATATCCATAAAGAATATATTGTGTTTTAAAATTTCTGCTCCCTGCACTTTTGAAACTGTAGGAAAATGTAACATTGGCATTTAAAAATCTTGGGGTGGGAGATGCACCCATAACCTCCATTACAAATATTTTCATATTTTGGCCTTGCTTAAATTGTGTGTATTCTTTCACAAAGTTGCAATTAGAATATGCACACCATTTTGTTGTCTTCTCCCCACCCCTACCATCAAATGTAGACATTGTTCCAGTTTCCATTTTCATAATTATTATTTTTAGGGGCTGTAGAACATAACTGTTGACATATAATTTTTAGAAAGCCATTTAAAAATCCTCTGGGGGACAAAAGTGACAGTGGTCACTTTTGGGCTACTTTTACTTTTCAGTGTATAACTTCAATGGTTTAAAAAAAAATTTTTTTTTTTTTGAGACAGAGTCTTGCTCTGTCACCCCGGCTGGAGTGCAGTGGCATGATCTTGGCTCACTGCAACCTCTGCCTCCTGGGTTCAAGCAATTCTCTTGCCTTGGCCTCCAAATTAGCTGGGACTACAGGCATGGGCCACCACACCTGGCTAATTTTTGTATTTTTCGTGGAGATGGAGTTTCACCATGTTGGCCAGGCTGGTCTCAAACTCCTGAACTCATGTGTTCCACCTGCCTCAGCCTCCCAAAGTGCTGGAATTATAGGCATGAGCCACTGTGCCCAGCCTATGTTGTTTATTTTTAACCCCCAACACATACATTATTTTATTTGAGATCTTATTTTAAAAGTAAATTCTACACATTTTTTTTGTGTTTTTTTTTTTTTTTTTAAAAAAAAACCCTTGCTCTCTGTAGAAAATATTCCAGAAAGGAGGTCCCTTACTTTTCGGTGTTTTGAGGATCAAAATAATGCATGCACTTGAAAGTCTTTGGTAAATTGTAAAAGTCTCTGAACATGAAGAAAAAAAAGCAAAACAACCCTAGTGGGTTCATTTGGCAGCTAGGAATAACTAAAGACTAATGTCAGAGCACCCAGACTAGAGTCGGTTTGCTCAGCTGGAGTCACCTATGTGAGGTTAGATAAGGTATTCCCAGGCTGGCCTTTGGCATGCCCAGGGAAGAATTCATCTCTGAAGTTAGAAGGACACATATGAGGAAGAATTTGTCCTAGGTTTCTTCAGTTCACCAGGGAGGTTTCTTCAGAATTCTTTATCTGTACTGTTAGAAGAAAATAGAATACCATAAAAACAAGATTTCTATTGGTCCAGTACTTTTCAGAGGTCTTTATAGAGGTCATTTATAGCATTATCTTAGAACTTATGTGTTACTTATTTGTGACTAATGACAGCAAGGCACATATTAATGAGGGGATCATCGTCTACTATGGCGTGTTGTCATAAAGCATTAAAAATTAACTACTCTGGAAAATAAATGAACCAAGGGCATTTTAAAGGCAGTATCACCTTTGTAATCGTTTCCTAGCTTATTTATATTTATTAGCTAATCCACCAAATTAAAGTGTGTGCATTTAACAGAATTTTACTGCAATCAGTGAATGGGGCCCCTTGAATTTAGATAACTTTATGTGACTGTATAGAGGCATGAGAGGAGAGGGACCAGCATTATAAATATACATTATGATTTCAAGTGGCCCAGTATGCAGAGACAGGAAGAAGTGGCCATTTCACCTTTGGTAAGACTTCTGTGCAGCAGGGGGCCCTTCTTCCTCTTGGGACACTGCAGAGGGCAATGCAGAATGGAAGTGGTCCAGAAGCCAGGAGGAGAATGCTTTCCTCACTGCAGGCCTTTCCCACTTCCAACCACTGAGAATCATGAACCTCTGGAGCCAGGACTTCCTGCATAAAGATGAGGACACTGAGAATTAGAGAGGGGAGATGTTTTGCCCAAAGGCTTGCAGGCCTAGAATGGTGGCACTGGACCTAAAATGCTGGTTCTTCTGACTGCCAACCCCAGGGAGAGAGGAGTTTATTTCTAACTCACTGGTCTCTCTTCCCACCTCCTGGCTCTACCTCCCCTCCTTCACCAGGAAAGATGGTGACGCTGGGTCCCCTGGGCAAGAGAATCTTCAGAGGAGGTCTGGGCAGAGGGGAACTAAGGCATCTGGTCCTCAAAAGGCCTGTCTTGGGGGAGGGGGTTGACTCACTCACCCTCTGGGGCTCATGTGTTAGCTTAGAAGCATGGAGTCGGTATTAGATGTGCTCTCTGCTGACTAACGGAGGAAGGGAATAAGAGATTCTCATAGGAGGGGCAGGCAAGTGTGGTGGAGAATCTTAAACACTGGAGGGCCCTCAGGATCAGCAGTGAGGTGGGGACTGGGAAATGGGACTGGAGAGGAGATGCAAGATGTAAGAGGAGATGTGAGAAATAAGAGTCCAACCCTGCTGGCCCATTCCCAAAGCGCTGCCTGGGAGCTGTTTGCATGCTGTGAAATGTTAGGGTTTGTGCAGTGAAACAGCTCCTGCGTTCATTCCATCTAAGGGAAGTCCAGTTTCTCCCACACCTGGAGATTTGAAAACAAAAGACTCACCATGATCATCCCTTAATACTACCCTCCCTGATACTGTTTTGGAGATAACATGAACCTGTATTTGGGGTGACCCTATTGCTCTCTGCTGGTTTATATGAACAACTGCACCATCCAGCCAGGTAGAAGGTTCATTAGGAGAGAGCCAAAAGTGACAGGGAGGAGGAGAAAGGGTGAAGGTGGAAGAATTGCATGAAGAATTCAGGAGTGAAGAGGGAGCAGTTTTCTCAAAAATTACATGAAGTAACCTAAATAAAACCAGCAAGTACCAGCCTGCTATGTAAAAGATGCTTGGTGATGTTCTGGTTGTGTTTGAGTCAAGATGAACTGCATCTGGGTCGGGGAGATAAAAGTATGATCTTGCTAAGTTTCTCTCCACTCCTGGGTGGGGGTGGGTTTCCCACTCATGGACTCTCCAGCACTCAGACTTGCTTTTGGGAATGAGTTCCGATAAACCTGTGTACACTGAGGTGCAAAAAATGGACAATAGCTCAGAGCAACAGTCTACAGTTAACTTGCAAGGAACCTCTAAGTGTTATGGCAAAAAGGGTTCCATAGTTCAATGAGTTTGTGAGGCATCACATACCACCTTCCCCTGCTGCGGACGACCATACATGACGTATATTAAAGGCTCAGAAAAGTTCTGTGGCAAAGAAACTTCCTTAACTCTGTTTAGTATTTTACAGACCTTTTTGACCATGGAATTATTTTTCTCATGGAATACCTATTATCATCTTGAATAAAGCTTGCTTGGAAAATCAAGAATAGAGAGACCATAGACCCCGTAAGCAGCTGACCTTTGTCCCTCCTAACTCCGCCTCTCCTCTCCTTCCAGGCAGACATCTTCTCGGGGGCCATATTCATCAATCTGGCCTTAGGCCTGAATCTGTATTTGGCCATCTTTCTCTTATTGGCAATCACTGCCCTTTACACAATTACAGGTGAGTCCATTTAAATAAACTAGCACATCAAACCCAGCTTGGGATTAGACACTAGTTAAGGATAAATCCAAGAAGGAGAGGTGGTTTCTCCTCTTGAGGAGGAAAGATATACTCAGATAACAGTTTGGGAGTGCGGTATTTGCTTAGTCCCCACTCACAGACCCTATAAGTTATATGAGTGGTTTTGGAAAGCTGAGGTGTTGGCTGGGTTAGTCAGGGCAGCTTCTCACAGGAGTACATGCAGAGCTGTACGCTGTGAGTTGTGGAGATGATGTAACTAAGGTGGGAGAATCAGGGCAGTAGCAGGTGCAGAAATAAGTGAGCACAGGGGAGTAGAGGCAGGGTGGGCATTCAGATGCTCTTGGCTGGAGGAGGTTAGTCATTGAAGGATCATGGAGTTTGTGGGGACCATACGCCTTGATAGTTCAAATGAGGTCACAGTATAGGGGCTTTGAAAGCTAGACAGAGGCCTTGGATTTGATGTGTCAGGGACTGGGAGCCCCTGTAGAGAGGGAGAAAGGAAGCGACTTACACACAGAGGTTTTAGAGGAAGACTCAAGTGGCAACCCAAGAAATTGGTTCGTGAATAGAAATTGGGGCTCCTTAGAAGAGGGGTCACTCTGCCTCCTTGTTGGAAGTGGGAGGGATCAGCTTTAGAACTTGCTGCTTGATTGGAACCCCACAGCTTTGGGGATTGAGAAAAAGGTGGACATAGAAGTGGCCCTTTGAAATGTGCCAATTTGGTGATGTCCCACCATCTCCACAGCCAGCTCTTTGCTCCTCCCTGCCTCCTGTGTGGAAGATGCTTCCTTTTACCACAGAGAAGCCATCTCCTTTAAGCCATCTTCTGGCTCAAAGGGTCATGCCAGACTCTACCCTCAAGTAGGGAGAAACATTCTCCACTTCTATGACAGGTGGAGCTGTGGGAACATGCTCAGTAGCAGAATACTGTAACAGGACAAGGGAGGGAAGGAAGGAAAGGCAGGTGGATGACTGTGGGGGTGTTCTCAGAAGGCCAGCAGGAAGTAGAGAGCAGAGAGTGGGGAAAGAAGCAGGTAGACAGGTCGCCCTCTACACAAGGTCAGGTGTGTTTTCTTCTTGCCTGCTTAGGGGGACTGGCAGCGGTGATTTACACGGACACCTTGCAGACGGTGATCATGCTGGTGGGATCTTTAATCCTGACTGGGTTTGGTAAGTAGGGCCTGGGCAGGCTGAGGAAGTGGGAGCAGAAATAGAGGGCCTCAGAAAGAGAAAGGCAAGTCCCACTCTCTCTCAGTGAGCTGAGGCGTGCTCTGCCCTTCCAAAGGGAGAGTCCAGCCTAGGTGGGCTATCATTGTGGAGATGTGAGAAATAAGAGTCCAACCCTTATTGGGTCAGCTTCCTCATCCCTGGAAGACTGAGGTTGGGGCTGGTCCTGGATTTTCTGCTTCTCTCTTTTACCAGTCTGGGCTAGGTGGTTGTGCTGTGAGCCATATTATCATATGGTGTCTGTCTGCAGAGAAACTGCACAAAAAAGGATAAGGCTAAATATCCATCAAACTAAATCTATTCAAATGTTGTGTTTTTAATCTTAGGCTATGTCTTATCTACATTTTGATGTCAAATGTCTTTTCTTTTATAAATTGTTGATAGTAGGTGCTAATGTTCCCTTTAATGTCTCTATTTGGCAAAATTAAAAACTTGGCTACTCAGTGTTGACCCTCCATTTTTTTTTATTGTTGCAATTTTACTTGTCTATCTTACAGACAAGATTGGAAAACCTAGATGTAAGGTACTTGTTGTGGGAGAATAGAAAGTACATTTTATTTCTAGGTGCTCAAGGCTCACTGTGTATCCTGCAAAGACTTGTATTTGCCTTCCACTCTTCTGTTTTCTCAGGACTTTCATTTGGTTTTCCTCAGTAGGCCCTGGGTGTTAGCAAGGCAGGCAGTGGAATGACTTATTCAAGGACACACAATTGAGAGGTGGCAGGTTCCAGATTTCTTATTCATTCCCTGTACATCCTACAACATTGCTGGGTCCAGGGGTAGTAGGTCTGGGTCCAAGGTCCCAAAGGCCATGGCTGACATCAGAGGGTGAGGGAAAAAAACAGGGTCTTTGTATGTAGTCCCAAACTGAAGTCTTTTTTTTTGGGAGGGAAGGAGGAAGGGAGGAAGGCAGGAAGGGAGGGAAGGAGGAAGGGAGGGAGGAAGGAAGGGATGAAGGAAGGAAGGAAGGGAGGAAGGGGGGAGGGAGGGAGGGAAGGGAAGGGAAGGAAGGAATTCAAGCAATGTGAGAGACATTGCCGACCTGGATCTAGAGGTTTACAAGTTGATTTCTTTTTTTGAGAGAAGAAAAGAAGAAAGAAAAAATGAGTAAAGGAGAGAAAGAAAGAGGAAGAGAGAGAGGGAGGGTGAACAGAAATATTGCTTTATTCTGAAAAAAATGGGTATTAATAATGGCCAATCAATGTTTCATTTAAACCTATGAGTAGGTATGATGTGGTATTGACAAGAATGTATATTTTATGTATTTGATGTGGAGAGCTCTATAAATATTTATTAAGTTTACTTGTTCCGTATCTGAGTTCGAGTCCTTGATATCCTTATTAATTTTCTGTCTCATTGAATCTAAGTCTCTATGTATCTGGGTGTTAGGTTCGTTAGCTCTTGTTGTTGCATTGATCCTTTTACCACTATATTAGTTGCTTTAAAATCTATTTTATCTGATACGAGACTCCTGCTTTTTATTTATTAATTAATTTATTTTTGCTCTCCATTTGGTTGGTAAATCTTTCTCCATTCCTTTGTTTTGAGTCTTTGTGTATCCTTGCATGTGAAACAGGTCTGGATGTAACATGCCGTTGGGTTTTGGCTGTGTCTTTTGATTGGGGGATTTAGTCGATTTAAATTTAGGATTACTGCCATTTGATGTTAACCGGCTGATCCATTTGTTGATGAAAATTCTTCTTTATGTTGATGCTCTTTACTTTTTGGTATATTTTTAGTAAGGCTAATAGTGGTTGTTTCTTTCTGTGTGTAATGCCTCTTTCAGAAGCTCTTGTAAAGCAGGCCTGGTGGTAATAAAATCTCTGAGTTCTTGCTCGTTCATAAAAGATTTCATTTTTCCTTCAGTTGTGAAGCTTAGTTTGGCTGGATATGAAATTCTGGGCTGAAGGTTCTGTCCTTTGAGGATATTGAATATTGGCCCCCACTCTCTTCTGGCGTGTAGAGTTTCTGCTGAGAGATCTGCTGTAAGTCTGATAGGCTTGCCTTTGTGGGTAACCTGACCTTTCTCTCTGGCTGCCCTTAGTATTTTCTCTTTCGTTTCAACCCTGGTGAATCTAACGATTATGTGCCTTGGGGTTGCTCTTCTTGAGGAATATCTTTGTGGTGTTCTCTGTATTACCTGGGGTTGAATATTGACCTGTTTTGCTAGTTTAGGAAAATTTTCCTGAATAATATCCTGAAGGGTATTTTCCAGCTTGGATTCATTCTCTCCGTTGCATTCAGGTACACCTATCAAATGTAAATTTGGTCTTTTCACATAGTCCCACATTTCTTGGAGACTTTTTGCTCATTCCTTTTTATCCTTTTTTCTCTAATCTTGTCTTCTTGTTTTATTTCATTAAGTTGGACTTTCACCTCTGATATCCTTTCTTCTGCTTGAACAATTCGAGTGTTTAAACCTGTGCATACTTCCCGGAGTTCCTGTATTGTATTCTCCAGTTCCATTAATTCACTTATATTCCTCTCTAAGTTGTCTATTCTCATTAGGATTTCGTCAAACCTTTTTTCAAAGTTCCTAGTTTCTTTACGTTGGGCTACAACATGTTCTTTTAACTCACAGAATTTTCTTATTATCCATTCCCTGAAGTGTGATTCTGTCATTGGGATGCGCTCGTTCTCCATCAAGCCTTGTTCCATTGTTGATGTGGAACTGTGCTCATCTTTAGAGGGAGAGGCGTTCTGATTTTGAGTATTCTCAGCCTTTTTACGCTGGTTTCTTCCCATCATTGTAAATTTATCCACCTGTCGTCTTTGAAATTACCAACTTTCAGATTAGGTCTCTTGAGTGGACGTCCAAGTTGTTAGTTCCCAGGGTCAGAACAGTGGCGTTAAGACTGCTGGTGCTTTTCTGCCCAGGATTCTCCTGTCTGGCTTCCTTCTTGTGTCCGTAATGGGTGACTCTGCCTTCCCGGGGCTCCAAACCTCGGTCAGAAGGGGAACCAGTCTCGTTTACTCTGCGCCGAGAGCTGCCGCGCTGAGGTGCCGTCACAGCCTCTGTGCCGGCCTCAGGAGTCATGCTGGGGACCCTTGTGGGTCCTCCAAACCTCGGTCAGAAGGGGAGCCGGCCCTGTTTACTCTGCTCCGAGAGCTGCCGCGCCGAGGTGCCGGTGGAGCCGCTGCGCCGGCCACAAGAGTTGTGCTGGCGACCCGCGTGGGTCCTCCAAGCCTCGGTCAGAAGAGGAGCCAGCCCTTTTTTTTTTTTTTTTTTTTTTGAGATGGAGTTTCGCCCTTGTTACCCAGGCTGGAATGCAATGGCATGATCTCGGCTCACCGCAACCTCCGCCTCCTGGGTTCAGGCAATTCTCCTGCCTCAGCCTCCTGAGTAGCTGGGATTACAGGCACGCACCACCATGCCCAGCTCATTTTTTATATTTTTTAGTAGAGTTTCACCATGTCGACCAGAATGGTCTCGATCTCTTGACCTCGTGATCCACCCACCTCGGCCTCCCAAAGTGCTGGGATTACAGGCGTGAGCCACCGCTCCCGGCCGCCAGCCCTGTTTACTCTGCTCTGAGAGCTACCTCGCCAAGGTGCCAGCGAAACTGCTGCGCCGGCCACAAGAGTCGCGCTGGTGACCTGTGTGGTTCCTCCACTGGGGATCTTCTGCTCCGTGAGCGACCAGAATTTGTCTGAAAGTGTGGTGTCCTCTAGTTCTCTGCGCTTTGAGAGCTGCAATCCCAAGCTGTTATCGATCAGCCCGGCCATCTTGGATCGTTCCCTGAAGTCTTTCTTTGATGAAATAAAAATCCCTTCCCTATTATGAAGAGGTTTAAAGTTGGAACACTTTTACAAGTTATAGCTTTGATCCCCATAGTAGCCCCCAAAGGGGGTTGGGCAGGACTATTAATCTCATTCTATGGATGAGAAAGCTGCAGCTCAGAATGGAAGGTGACTTGCCCGATGGCACTCAGTGAGGGCTCTGTCGTGGGTTAGGTTCTTTTGGTTTCTCAGGCATCTATGGAAGGAAGCTGCTATGAAGAGTTGAAGGTTTCAGAATGTTCATTTCTGTACCAATGTGTTCCAGCTTTTCATGAAGTGGGAGGCTATGACGCCTTCATGGAAAAATACATGAATGCCACTCCAACTGTGATTTCTGATGGTAACACCACCATTAAGGAAGAATGCTACCTTCCGAGGGCCGACTCCTTCCACATCTTCCGAGATCCCCTCAAGGGAGACCTGCCATGGCCTGGGCTCATCTTTGGGATGTCCATCCTTGCCCTGTGGTACTGGTGCACAGATCAGGTACCCAAGCTGGATGTGCGGGATGGACAGAGTCTTCCCCTGGGCACTACAGGAACTCCTGTCTGTCTGTGGTTTGTAGGCTTGGGATGGGGAGGGGAGAGCTCAGGTGGTTTGTGAGTTGCCACACCCCAGTGACACACGAGTGCCAGGTCAAGGACCCAGGATGGTAAGGCTGGGAAGTACAAGGGTGTCATAGGGTCTCTGGTCTGCACACCTCCCTTACTGGGCTTTTTCTGGCAGGTCATTGTGCAGCGCTGCCTCTCAGCCAAGAACATGTCTCATGTGAAGGCTGGCTGCACCCTGTGTGGGTACCTGAAGCTGCTGCCCATGTTCATCATGGTGATGCCAGGAATGATCAGCCGCATTCTGTACACAGGTAATAACTTCTGGACTCACAGGTCACTCTCCCTTCTTCTGTTTCCAAGTCACTTCTAAAGCTCTATAGCTTTCTGCTTCCTCCTTTTTTTTTTTTTTTTTGAGACTGGATCTCACTCTGTCACCCAGGCTAGAGTGCACTTGCGTGATCATAGCTCACTGCAGTCTCCAACTTCAACTCCTGGGCTCAAGTGATCTTCCTGCTTCGGCCTCCTGAGCAACTGGGACAGGTGTGCACCACCATGGCTGCCTAACTTATAATTTTTTTTTTTTAAGAGATGGGGTTTTGCAGTGTTGCTCAGGCTGCTCTTGAACTCCTGGTCTCAAGTGATCTTCTTGCTTTGACCTTCCAAAGTGCTGGGATTACAGGCATAAGCCACCACGCCTGGCCCTCTTTTTTATTTCTTGCATTCATATACACGCATTATTGTTCCTGTGCTAGACAATGAGCAACTTGAGGGAAACTTTGGAATTGTCTTCCATGGTATTTTTATGTTGACAATTGATTTCTCTCTCTCTACTTTTTTTTCAAATCTTCTATAAAGTTATGAGATGCCCCCAGGTTACTTCTCCCTAATAATAGTTGCTCAATTGTTGCTCAATCTCTTGCCCTTTTTCTCCCACCCTGAGCGTTTCTTTGATTCCTTTCCTCCTTTGCCTAGAAATTGTCTTTCTTCTTTAGTCAGAAGATGCATCAATGTATCAGGGCCAGCAGGGCAGGGCAGGCACCAAAGGGCTCTGTGAAGGGCTGTACTCTTGAGGAACCATTTCAGGGCCTTGGGAAAGAATATCCTGTTTGAAGCCTTGTTTTAAGAAGGTGAATTTAGGAAATATTTCCCCAATGTCTGCTTGCTATTTCCCCAATGTCTGCTTGCTGACATGGCTCTTTATCTCTTCCCAGACAAAATTGCCTGTGTTGTCCCTTCAGAATGTGAGAAATATTGCGGTACCAAGGTTGGCTGTACCAACATCGCCTATCCAACCTTGGTGGTGGAGCTCATGCCCAATGGTGAGAGTCTTTCTTGGGAGCTTTGTAGAATCTTTCTTGGGAGGCTGATTGGGTTTAGGCATCACCTAGATTTCTGAGGACCTTCTGGGCAAAGCTATTTCTTAACTGGGGGGTTAGGAAGGAAAGCATCATTGTGGGTATCTTCAGTTTCTGGACATGTCCTCTTTCAGTGGGAAGGAGACATATGACTTGGTTGGGTTTATGAGTTCTGGGACTTGCCCATCAGTCAGGCTTGGAAAGGAGATGATCCGAAAACTCGTTAGAGAAAAACATGGCGTTTCCTAATGCATATTGAAGGTTTTTCAAAGCTCTCCAACATTGGATGTAATAGCACACCCATTATGGAAAACCGGATGGTGGTCCCTCAAATAATTGAAAATAGAACTACCATATGATCCAGCAATCCCATGACTGGGCATATATACAAAGGAAATGAAATCAGTATGTTGAAGAGATATCTGCTCTCCCATGTTCACTATAGCATTGTTCACAATAGTCAAAATGTGGAAGCAACATAAGTGCCGATTAATGAATGAATAGATGAATGGATAATGAAAATGTAATATATAGTATATACACAATGGGATACTATTCAGTCTCAAGAAAGAAGGAAATTCTGTCATTTATGACAACATGAATGAACCCGGGAAACATTATAGTTAGTGAAATAATTTAGACTCAAACAAATACCACATATTCTCACGAATATGTAGAGCCTTAAAAAGTCAAATTTGTAGAAGCAGAGAGTGGAATGGTGGTTATTAGGGGTTGGGGTCAGGAGCTGGGGAGATATTGGTCAATGGATTCAAAATTTCAGTTAAGAGGAACAAGTTCAAGGTATCTATTGTACAACATAGTGACTATAGCTAATAGCAATGTATTGTATACTTGAAAATTGCAAGAGTAGATTTTAAGTGTTCCCACCACAAAAAGTGACAAGTACATAAGGTAATGCCTATGCTAATTAGCTCAGTTGAACCATTCCACAATGTATACATATTTCAAGACGTCATATTGTACAACCTCAATATATACAATTTTTACTTGCCAGTTAGAGCATATTTTTAAAAACCTCTCCAAAAGATGTTAACATAAAGGCTTGAACTAGGTCCAAGGGGTTTTACCTGGAGACTGAATTGACTTCTGTGCTCTTCCAAAGAAACGCATAGGGAAAGAGGCAAGATTTCTTTACTAAAAATACAAAAATTAGCCGGGCAAGGTGGTGCGTGTCTGTAATCCCAGGTATTCAGGAGGCTGGGCAGGAGAATCGGTTGAACCTGGGAGGCAGAGGTTGCAGTGAGCCAAGATCATGCCACAGCACTCCAGCCTGGGTGACAGAGTAAGACTCTGACTCAAAAAAAAAAAAAAAAAAAAAAAGAATCTGTTTTCCTAGAAGATTGAGTGAATACTTAGCTGTGACTCTGAGTAGCTAGAGTTTTGCAGTTGACCTGTGGGATGGCAGTCATGTTTCACATTGAAGAAAAATCTCCTAATTCTGGCTCAAGGGAAACAAATCTGGTTAGGGTGCAATGGTGTGATCTCAGCTCACTGCAACCTCTGCCTCCTGGGTTTAAGTGATTCTCCTGCCCAGCCTCTGGAGTAGCTGGGATTACAGACATGCACCACCATGCCCCGCTAATTTTTTGTATTTTTAGTAGAGATGGTGTTTTACCATGTTGGCCAGACTGGTCTCAAACTCTGGACCTCAAGTGATCTACCCATCTCGGACTCCCAAAATGCTGGGATTACAGGCCTGAGCCACTGCACCCAACCTACTGCATTCCTTAATGACCTCCCTAGACCAAATAGATATTTTCCATTCCTCACTTTACTGGACCCCTTAGTGGCAGCATTATCAATCTCTCATTCTTCTTTAGTTGTTTTCTTCCCTTGGATTCCATCATATTGTATTCATCTGTTTGTCTTTTCAAATTTTCCCCATCCTCTTTGCTTCTCCTTTCCCTTTTTTTTTTTTTTGAGACAGAGTTTTGCTTTTGTCACCCAGGCTGGAGTGCAATGGTGTGATCTAAGCTCACCACAACCTCTGGGTTCAAGTGATTCTCCTGCCTCAGCCTCCTAAGTAGCTGAGGGGATTACAGGCATGCACCACCATGTCCCACTAATTTTGTATTTTTGGTGTAGATGGGGTTTCTCCATGTTGGTCAGGCTGGTCTCAAACTCCTGACCTCAGGTGATCTGCCTGCCTTGGCTTCCCAGAGTGCTAGAATTGCAGGTGTGAGCCACCGCACCTGGCCTGGCCACTCCTTTTCATTCCGTTTGCAGATTCAGCCTCCTCTACTTAGCAACTAGGTGATCCTCCCACCAATCCACATCAAATTGTCTCCTAGTGTACTTCTCTCTATTTTTACTTCTGTTACCCTAGTCTGATAGACATTATTTTTTTGCCTGGACTACTGTAAAATTATGTTCAGCAAATATTGGTTGAGTAAATAAATGAATGGGGGTTTGATAGGAGTATCTACAGAGGGAAAAGTTCTGTCCCAGCTTACCAATTTCAGGGCAGGGTAACCCTGAATAAGTGGCAGAGCTAGGGCTGAAAGCCCTTTTTACTAACTTCTTGAAATGGACCTTTGTTTTATCAACTGAAAAATGAGATAATTGGACTTGATTTTTATAACTTCTTCTCTATTTCCAATGGTTTCTAATGTACACTATACAAACTCAGAAAGAACCATTTAAAAAACCCTCTCAACAAATGACAAAATAATTAGAATAGGCAGCCTTTATAATTAATCTTGCAAGGCTATAGGTGAGACCATAAATTATTTAAATATGTGAAACCTAGAGGAATGACAGAATCATGTTCCAAAAGGACCTCAAGAGGTATGAATGTTGACTCAGCTCTAACAAGCTGATGTTTAAGAGGTATAAGTGAAGTTCTAAATATTTGGGTCTCTCAAATGCAGTTATATAGGAATATAGAGAAGAGAGAGTTCAAGGGAACATGAGTTGTCTTTGAATATATGAAGGATGGCAAAGTGGATAAGGGGTAAGACCTGTTCTGTTGGGTACCACAAGGACTACATCTGATGCCATAGAGGGGTAGATTTCAGCCTCCTCAGAACTGTCTGAGGGCAGGTTCCCTGTAGGGTAGGAGGAGATTTATGGTTGCTGTGGAGTTTGGACAAAGGAAGTGTTGTGAGGGATTCATGTATCAGATGGATGACAGGTCTAGGTGATTCTAAGATTACTTTTATTCCTGAGACTGTAACACTCTTGATAGTGAGTCCTCAGCTTGGCCTGGCCTTCTAGCCTCAGCAGGTGTACCCATGTGTATTCCTTGGAATGGGAAGAATAATAGAGATTATAGCCAAACAGGCTTCCCATGACTAGGAAAACTTCAATAACAAGAGTTTCGTTTTCTGATTTGGGAAGATGTAGTATTCTGTATTCTGATTTGGGAAAGTATCCCCATTTAACATATCAAGAAATGAGATCTAGAGCTGGACGTAACTTGCTTAAGATCAGAGTTAGAGCTGGGCATGGTGGCACGTGCCTGTAATCCCAGCTACTCAGGAGGCTGAGGCAGGAGAATTGCCTGAACCCAGGAGGCGGAGGTTGTGGTGAGCCGAGATCGCGCCATTGCACTCCAGCCTGGGTAACAAGAGCGAAACTCCGTCTCAAAAAAAAAAAAAAAAAAAAAAAATCAGAGTTAGAAATAGAGCCTTGTCTTAAAAAAAAAAAAAAAACCACAAAAAACGTAATTGAGCTCAAATTCACCTACCATACAATTCCCTCATTTAAAATGTACAATTCAGTGGGTTTTAAAGTATATTCAATTGTGTGTGCAAACATCACTGAAATAAATTTTAGAAAATTTTTGTCATGCTGTAGAGAAATCCTATACCCACTGGGCACAGTGCTCATGCCTGTAATCCCAGCACTTTGGGAGGCTGAGGTGGGCTGATCACCTGAGGTTGGGAGTTCAAGACCAACCTGACCAACATGGAGAAACCCTGTCTCTACTGAAAAGACAAAAATTAGCTGGGCATGGTGGCACATGCCTGTAATCCCAGCTATTCGGGAGGTTGAGGCAGGAGAATTGCTTGAATCTGGGAGGTGGAAGTTGTGGTGAGCCAAGATCATGCCTTTGGTCTCCAGCCTGGGTAACAAGAGCAAACTCTGTCTCAAAAAAAAAAAAAAAAAAAAAAGAAATCCTATACCTGCTAATGAAATGAGCAGCCTCTTACTAATATACTTCCTGTATTCCTAGATTTGCCTATTCTGGACATTTCATATAAATAGAATCATATAATATGTAGGGGTTTTTTTTGCAACTTGTTTCTTTTACTTAACGTAATGTTTGCAAGGTTCATCTGTGTCATAGCATGTATTTGTATGTCATTCCTTTTAATTGATGAATAATATTCCATCACATGTTTACCCATTTGTCAATTGTTTATGCATTTTATTTATCCACTTATCATTTGGTGGACATTTGTGTTGCTCCTCCTTTTTGGCTATTTTAAGTAATAATATTACAAACATTAATGTATGAGTGTTTAAGTGGATATATGTTTTCATTTTTCTTGGGTAGAGAGAAATGAAATTCCACTTAGGAATAGAATTGATAGGTAATATGGTAAGCTCAGTGTTTAATCATTTGAAGAACTGCCTGACCCAGACTATTTTCTGCAGTGGCTGTACCATTTTACATTCCTGGCAGCAATATATGAATGTTCCCATTTCTCCACATCTCTACTCACACTTGTTATTACTATTTTTAAAAAATTTGTTATTATAAAACAATTGTTATTATAGCTATCCTAGTGGGTGCAAAGTATTATCCCATTATGATTTTTATTTGAATTCCCCTGATGTCAAGCATCTTTTCATGTCATGATTGACTATTTGTATAGCTTTGGAGAAGTGTCTATTCAGATCCTTTGGCATTTTAAATTGGGTGATATGTCATTTTATAGTTGAATTTTAGGAGTTCTTTATATGTTCTATATACTTGGCCCTTATCAGATACATGATTTGCGTGTATTTTCTCCCAATTTGTGGATATCTTTTTTACTTTCTTGAGAACCTCATCTTTTGAATCATAGTTTAAATCTCTGCTATATCATGAATATTTCAGGTGAGAGACCTTATAAAAATCCCCTCAGATGGAAACACACACGCACACACACACATACACACCACCACCATCACCACCATCACCATCATCATCACATCCAGTTGCAAAGTATTCACCTCAAGTATGTTGTGTCTCCAACTCTTTGTGGCTGCTGTGGGCTTATAATGGGCTAATAAATTTAAAGCCGTAGGCCACTTCTTAAAGCGTCTAGTCTTTTTGGAGAAATAAATTGGATAACATGACATGGTTTCAGAAGGCAAACAAACCTGGAGTCCTTGTATTTTCCAAGTACAAAAGAGCTGCTGTATATGCCACTCAGAACTCCTTCTTTTCCAGGATTGCGAGGCCTGATGCTGTCGGTCATGTTGGCCTCTCTCATGAGCTCCCTGACCTCCATCTTCAACAGTGCCAGCACCCTCTTCACCATGGACATCTACACCAAGGTCCGCAAGGGAGCATCTGAGAAAGAGCTCATGATTGCTGGAAGGTAAATGTAGCTTCCCCATGCACAAAAGCTTGAATGATCAGAGAGGTTCCATCTGTGCTGCCCTTCAGGCTAGGGAAGGTTGGCAGATGCCTGGGTAGAATGGGAATAATCTCTGTGGCTGGTTATATTTGCCATTCAGTGGCATTTAACTTTATTTATTGATTATTTTATTATTTTTTAATTTTTTATCTCCATACATTTTGGGAAACAGGTGATATTTGGTTATATGAGTAAGTTCTTTAGTGATATGTGAGATTTTGGTGCACTCATCACCTGAGCATTATACACTGAACCCAATTTGTAATCTTTTATCCCTTGCCCACCTGCCTTCCTTTCCCTACAAGTCCCTAAAGTCCATTGTATCATTCTTATGACTTTGTATCCTCATAGCTTAGCTCCCACTTATGAGTGAGAACTTATGTTTGAGTTTACATTCCTGAGTGACTTCACTTAGAATAATAGTTTCCAGTTTCATCAGGTTTCTGTCAATGCCGTTAATTTGTTTCTTTTTATGGCTGAGTAGTATTCCATTGTATGTATCTATACACCATAATTTCTTTATCCACTTGTTGACTGATGGGCATTGGGACTGGTTCCATAATTTTGCAGTTGCAAATTGTGCTACTATAAACATGCATGTGCAAGTATCTGTTTTGTATAATGACTTCTTTTCCTCTGGGTAGATACCCAGTAGTGGGATTGCTGAATCAATTGGTAGTTCTACTTTTAGTTCTTTAAGGAATTTCCATACTGTTTTCCATAGTGGTTATATTAGTTTACATTCCTACCAACAGAGTAAAGGTGTTTCCTTTTCACCACATCCACACTAACATCTATTATTTTTTGATTTTTAAATTACGGGCATTCTTGCAAGAGGCAGGTGATTAGTTTTTTGTTGCTAATTTGTTTGAATTATTTGTAGATTCTGGATATTAGTCCTTTGTGGAAAGTATAGATTGTGAAGCTTTTCTCTCACTCTGTGGGTTGTCTGTTTACTTTGCTGACTGTTCCTTTTGCTGTGCAGAAGCTCTTTAGTTAAGTTCCATCTATTTATCTTTGTTTTTGTTGCATTTGGTTTTGGGTTCTTGGTCATGAAGTCTTTGCCTAAGCCAATATCTAGAAGGGTTTTTCTGATGTTATCTTCTAGAGTTTTTATAGTTTCAAGTCTTAGATTTAAGTCCTTGACTTCTCCTGAGTTGATTTTTGTATAAGGTGAGAGACAAGGATTCAGCTTTATTCACCTGCATGTAGCTTGCCGATTATCCCAGCAGTATTTGTTGAATAGGGTGTCCTTTCCCCACTTTATATTTTTGTTTGCTTTGTCACAGATTAGTTAACTCTAAGTATTTGGGTTTATTTCTGGGTTCTCTATTCTGTTCCATTGGTCTCTGTGCCTATTTTTATATTAGTACCATGCTGTTTTGGTGACTATGACCTTGTAATATAGTTTAAAGTCAGGTAATGTGATGCCTCCAGAGTTGTTCTTTTTGCTTAGTCTTGGTTTGGCTATGTTGGCTCTTTTTTGGTTCCATATGAATTTGAGGATTGTTTGTACTAGCTTTGTGAAGAATAATGGTGGTATTTTTATGCAAATTGCATTGAGTTTGTAGATTGCTTTTGGGAGTATGATCATTTTCACAATATTGATTCTACCCAGCCATGAGCATGGGATGTGTTTCCATTTGTTTGTGTCATCTATTTCTTTCAGCAGTATTTGTAGTTTTCCTTGGAGAGGTCTTTCACCTCTTTGGTTAGGTATATTCCTAAGTCTTTTTTTTTTTTTTTTTTTTGCAGCTATTGTAAAAGGGGTTGAATTCTTGATTTTATTCTCAGCTTGGTCTCTGTTGGTATAGCAGAGCTACTGATTTGTATACATTAATTTTGTATCCTGAAACTTTGCTAAATTCATTTATCAGTTCTATGAACATTTTGGAGAAGTCTTTAGGGTTTTCTAGGTATATGATTGTATCATCAGCAATTAGCAACAGTTTGACTTTCTCTTTACTGATTTGGATGCCATTCATTTCTTTCTCTTGTTTAATTGCTCTGGCTAGGACTTCCAGTACTATGTTGAATACAAGTGGATGAAAGTGGTTATCCTTGTCTTGTTCCAATTCTCAGAGGGAATGCTTTCAACTTTTCCTCTTTTGGTATTATGTTGCCTGTGGGTCTGTCATAAATGGCTTTTATTACATTGAGGTATATCCATTGTATGCTGATTTTGCTGAGGACTTTAATCATAAAGGGATGCTGGATTTTGCCAAATGCTTTTTCTGTGTTTGTTGAGACGATCGTGTGATTTTTGTTTTTAATTCTGTTTATGTGGTATATCAAACTTACTGACTTGCATATGTTATACCATCCCTGCATGCCTTGTATGAAACCCACTTGATCAAGATGTATTATCTTTTTGATATGTTGTCAGATTCAGTTAGCTAGTATTTTGTTAAGGGTTTTTGCATCTATGTTCATTAGGGATATTGGTCTGTAGTTGTCTTCTTCTTCTTACATCTTTTCCTGGTTTTTGTATTAGGGTGATACTGGCTTCATAGAATGATTTAGGGAGGATTCCCTCTTTCTCTACCTTGTGGAATAGTGTTAATAGGATTGGTGCCAATTCTTCTTTGAATGTCTGGTAGAATTCAGCTGTGAATCCACCTGCTTCTGGACTTATTTTATTGGTAATTTTAAAATTACCATTTCAACCTCACTGCTTGCTAATAGTCTGCTCAGGGTATCTAATTCTTCCTGATTTAAGCCAGGAGGGTTGTATCTCTCCACAAATTTATCCATCTCCTCTAGGTTTTCTGGTATATGCACATAAAGTTGTTCATAGTAGCCTTGAATTATCTTTTGTATTTTTGTAGTGTTGGTTGTAATATCTTCTGTTTCATTTCTAATTGTGCTTATTTGGATTTTCTGTCTTCTTTTCTTGGTTAATCTTCTGAATGGTCTATGAATTTTATTTATCTTTTCAAAGAACCAACTTTTTGTTTCATTTATCTTTTATATTTTTTTGTTTCGTTTTGTTTCACTTTCATTTAACTGCCCTGATCTTGGTTATTTCCTTTCTTCTCCTGGGTTTGGGTTTGTTTGTTCTTGTTCCTCTAGTTTCTTGAGGTATGACTTTAGATTGTCTATTGTGCTCTTTAAGGCTTTTTGATGTAGGCATTTAGGGCTATGAACTTTCCTCTTAGCACTTCCTTTGCTGTATCCAGAGGTTTTAATAGGTTGTGTCACTATTATCATTCAATTCAAAGAATTTTTAAATTTCCATCTTGATTTCATTGTTGACTCAATGATCATTCAGGAGCAGGTTATTTACTTTCCATGTATTTGCATGCTTTTGAAGGTTCCCTTTGAAGTTGACTTCCAGTTTTATTTCACTGTGGTCTGAGAGAGTACTTGATATAATTTCAATTTTCTTGAATTCATTGAGACTTGTTTTGTGTCTTCTCATATGGTCTGTCTCGGAGAATGTTCCATGCACTGATGAATAGAATGTATATTCTGTGGTTGATGCGTAGAATGTTCTATAAATATCTGTTAAGTTCATTTGTTCCAGGGTATAGTTTAAATCCATTGTTTCTTTGTTGACTTTCTGTCTTGATGATCTGTCTAGTGGTGTCAGTGGATTATTGAAGTCCTCCACTATGATTGTGTTGCTGTCTATCTTCTTTCTTCCTTTTTTTTTTTTTTTTTTGAGACGGAGTTTTGCTCTTGTTGCCCAGGCTGGAGTGTAATGGTGTGATCTCGGCTCACCGCAGCCTCCGCCTCCTGGGTTCAAGCAACTCTCCTGCCTCAGCCTCCCTAGTAGCTGGGACTACAGGTACACACCACCATGCCCAGCTAATTTTTGTATTTTTAGTAGAGATGGGATTTCACCATGTTGACCAGGATGGTCTCAATCTCTTCACCTTGTGATCCACCTGCCTCAGCCTCCCAAAGTGCTGGGATTATAGGCATGAGCCACCGCGCCCGGCCTGTCTATCTTATTTCTTAAGTCTAGTAGTAACTTTTACACATTTGGGAGCTCCAGTATTAGGTGCATACATTTAGGATTGTGCTATTTTCTTGTTGGACAAGGCCTTTTATCATTATATAATGTTCCTCTTTGTCTTTTTTAACTGCTCTTGTTTTAAAGTTTCTTTTGTAACTTTAAAGAATATAAGAATACCTACTCCTGATCACTTTTGTTGTCCATTTGCATGGATGTCTTTTTCAACCCTTTAACCTTAAGTTCATGTGAGTCCTTATGTGTTAGGTGAGTCTCTTGAAGGCAGAAGATACTTGGTTGATAAATTCTTATCCATTCTGCAATTCCATATCTTTTAATTGAAACATTTAGGCCATACATTCAATGTTAGTATTGAGATATGAGGTACTATTTCATTGATTGTGCTATTTATTAAAATACTTCTCCCATAATAGGGACCTTCAGGTTCCCCAGTGAGGGTCTGTGTTTGGGGGCAGATGATTCCCCTTTCCCAGTTTCATAGTTTGGGCACTCACAGTGTGTAGGCTGTCTCCCAGATCCTGCAGGAGCGATCTGCTTCCTTCAGAGAGGGTGTGGATCCTCTTGGCTTTCCTGGTATATTCCTGCAGTAGTTCTTAGTACAAAAGTTCATGATGTGAGTCTCTGCATGCTGCTCTGTCCATCTGAGTGGGAGCTGCAATTTCATTCTGCCTCCTGTCTGCCATTTTTTCTAGGTCCTCTAGTGGCATTTAACTTTAAATTGTAGATCATTGAACAATGCATCTCTGGAGTTAGAAGGGACAAAAGAGAGACTTAATTTACCCCCGAGGCTGTCATTTGGGTTGGAGCTCATCCTGCCTAAATCCAAACAGTTTGGACGGTGTCAGAGACAGGACTGGAATCTGCAGCCAAGTGAACACTGTCCAAGGCTCTTCATATTGCCCCACACTGTCCTCCTCAGCACCCCCACACTGCATCTCTCCACACTGGTCATCTTTGAGGCCCCCATGCCTCTGATGCCTCAATCCTGTGATGCAACATTTTGCAGAACCATTGTGAAGGTTCAACTGTGCTTGTGAATATACTCTGTAAAGTCTAAAACACCAAGTGCTGTGCACATTTCTTGTTGTCAAATGGGCTAATAGATGCAAAAGGGTCCTGAAAGCATTAAAGTATCAACACCTGGGTCAGGTGTGTCCATTATCATGATTATCCATGGAGCAGATGCTCTGGAGAGAGGATCAACAGGAGCTTTGCTTCTTTTTCTATGGGGCTAAGGGAGGTCAACCTCCTTAGGGCAGGTGGAACAAGTCCCTGGGATGTTAGTCAAGGGAAAGTTTCCTAGCGAGTGCAGGAGGGTTAGGGGCTGCTACCTCATAGGTCTCATTTCAAGATTGAAATGAAAGAATAAAAGAAAACATGGTGGGCCACTTTCAACTGACAAGATACCTGGCACCCAAAGGAGATCTGACTGTGCCAGAGGGTCTTACTCTGAGCCATAGAAAGTAGCGATGTTACCTTGATTGATTTTTCCTTAGAAAGGCACTCACTGACTTTTTCAGTTATATATGTGGCTCAAATGCAAAATGCTAAAGAAAATTATTTTGTTGCCTTGTATAGGGATGGTTCCCATGACCCTGAGACTATGTTGGGGTTCACATTTTTGTGTGTCCTATAACTACTGCCCTGAGGCCTGTCCCAGCCCTGGATGAGCCCACAGTGATGTGCAATTCTGCTGTGGGGAGTGTAAGAACAACCAGGGTCTCAGATAGGGGAGTGATGAGTGTGGCATGCTGTGGTTGGGAAAGGCTCCTGGGGAAGGGAGAACCTGAGCTGAGTACATAATGGTGGGTGGGATATGAAAAAGGGGGACAGTGAAAAGGCATTTCAGAGGGAGAAATGTGGAGTGAAAACGTTGCTTTGTGGAGGTCAGTTTAAGATGCAGGTAAGTGAGAGGGAATCACAGTCATCTTTCTAATTCAATCAAGAGCACAAGTAAGAAGAGCTTGCAAGGACATCCCCAGTCTTTTCAGGACTTGAAGTGAAACTCAATGGGAGGAGAGATGGAAACACCTGGTAGTGTTTCTTCCTATCTAGACCATTCCTTTATAAAATCATCTTGCCTGGCATTGTTACTAATAACTTCATTATTAAGAAGAAAGAGAAGATAAAAGAGAAGGAGGAAAATAAGAAAGTAATAATAGTTTTTACTGTTTATTGAGTGCCTGCTATTTGCAAGGTTTTACTATCACTTAGTTAACTATCACTTAGATTCGTTTTACTATCACTATTTCTTATGTCCACCTTGCAAGGTCAGTCCTATTCCAAGTATACAGATGAAGAACTTGAGACTCAGAGAGGTTAAGAAATGTCCCCTATGTCACACAGAAATAATAAGAATTTGAATCCAGGACTATCAGGCTCCAAAATTTATACCTTGTTCCCATACTCTATTGCCTCTCAGAATGAGATTCTCTTATGGTGGTCAGTAGGCCTAGGCTACTATTGAAAGTCAAGTGTGTTTCACTAGTTCATAAATGACTTTCCTATAGGCAAAAAAAGCTTCAAGCATGCATTTGCTAATTCTTTTTTCTTTTCTTTTTTTTTTTTTTTGAGACACGGTCTCGCCCTGTCACCCAAGCTGGAGTGCAATGGCATGATCTTGGCTCACTGCAACCTCTGCCTCCCAGGTTCAAGTGATTCTCCTGCCTTAGCCTCCCTAGTAGCTGGGATTACAAGCACATGCCACCATGCCCGGCTAATTTTTTGTATCTTTAGTAGAGATGGGGTTTTACCATGTTGGCCGGGCTGGTTTCGAACTCATGACCTCGTGATCGACCCGCCTCAGCCTCCCAAAGTGCTGGGATTATAGGCGTGAACCACCGCACCCAGCCTGCTAATTATTTTTTTGTGCTGTGGTCATATTTGCTGCTGGTAGTGGTGCTGGTGGTAGTGTGTGTATGTATGTATGTATGTATGTATGTATGTATGTACGTATGTATGTATATATATAATACATAGTAAGGTATACTCATGCAGAGCTACTTATTGACACTTTGTTGTGGGGGCTTTAATTTCAGGTTGTTTATCCTGTTGCTGATTGGAATCAGCATTGCCTGGGTGCCCATTGTGCAATCAGCACAAAGTGGGCAGCTCTTCGATTACATCCAGTCCATCACCAGTTATTTGGGACCACCCATTGCAGCTGTCTTCCTGCTTGGTATTTTCTGGAAGAGAGTCAATGAGCCGGTAGGTATCATCTGGGCATGTCCAGAAAAGTCATTCTGGCATAGAAGTTTCCATGTGAGTTTGCATATTCTCTATGGGAGGGATTCTATTTCCCAGAGATCTTGAGCAGACATGGATGTACTGCTGAGGGTTTGTAGGGAAAGCCTCCAGGGACCATGGGGCTCTCTGTTGGAGTGAGCTCCTTGGGAGTTGGTATGGGGGTTCACATGCTCTCTGTCTCCTCTTCCAAGATTAGATTTTCTTAATTTTTTTTTTTAAATAGAGATGAGGTCTCACTATGTTGCCCAGGCTGGTCTTGAACTCCTGACCTTAAGTGATCCTCCCACCTCAGCCTCCCAAAGTGCTAGAATTATGGGCCAAGATTAGATTTTCTATCTAATATTGGTGATTTTGACCTGACTGCCTGGCACTCCCTAGGAAATTTGTAGCTCCTAGGTGAGCGAGAGAAAGTCCTAGCGCAAGATACCTCCAGTGCTGTACTGTGAACTCGGTTTTCCAGCCAGCACCTCTTGGGGCTGCGTGAAGACAAAGTCCTGGTGCTCAAGCAGTTTATACATAAAACAAAGTGCAAAACAAGTAAGGGATATAATGCAGCACATAATATGAGCAGGAAGGGATTTAGGAAAGGCTTTATCAGCAGAGGCTGAAACTGTCAGGGAAGGCCTCTTGGAGCAGCTGGAACTAGAAGGATTTGAAGTTGGAGAGGAAAGACATGGCATTCAAGTCAGAGAACAGCACTGTCCAGAACTTTTAGGCAGAAGTAGAAGGACAGGAGTGAGGTTGAAGGACTTGTATGGAATCTCACCTGGCTCACGGGGAGTTTGTGAATGTGAAAGATGGAAGACGTGACTGGAAAGGTAGGTCAGGGTTTCATTAAGAGTGCAACAAAAGCCAAAATAGACAAATGGGACCTAATCAAACTCCACAGCTTCTGCACAGCAAAAGAAACAGTCAGTAGAGTGAATCAGCAACCAACAGAATGGGAAAAAATTTTTGCAGTTTACCCATCTGACAAAGGGCTGATATCCAGAATTTACAAAGAACTTAAACAGATTTACAAGAAAGAAACAAACAAGCCCATTCAAAAATGGGCAAAGGATATGAACAGACACTTTACAAAAGAAGACATACATGAGGCCAACAAACATATGAGAAAATGCTCATCGTCACTGGTCATTAGAGAAATACAAATCAAAACCACATTGAGATACCATCTCACGCCAATTAGAATGGCGATCATTAAAAAGTCTGGAGACAACAGATGCTGGAGAGGATGTGGTGAAATAGGAACACTTTTACACTGCTGGTGGGAGTGTAAATTAGTTCAACCATTGTGGAAGACAGTGTGGCTATTCCTCAAGGACCTAGAAATAGAAATTCTATTTGACCCAGCAATCCCATTACTGGGTATATATCCAAAGGATTATAAATCATTCTACTATAAGGACACATGCATATGAATGTTCATTGCAGCACTGTTTACAATAGCAAAGACCTGGAACCAACCCAAATGCCCATCGATGATAGACTGGATGGGGAAAATGTAGCACATATACACCATGGAATATTATGTAGCCATCAAAAACAATGAGTTCGTGTCCTTTGTAGGGACATGGATGAATCTGGAGAACATCATTCTCAGCAAACTGACACAAGAACAGAAAATGAAATACTGCATGTTCTCACTCATAGGTGGGTGTTGAACAATGAGAACACATGGACACAGGGAGGGGAGCACTACACACTGGGGTCTGTTGGGGGAATAGGGGAAGGACAGTGGGGGGTGGGGAGTTAGGGAGAGATAGCATGAGGAGAAATGCCAGATATAGGTGAAGGGGAGGAAGGCAGCAAATCACGCTGCCACGTGTGTACCTATGCAACTATCTTGCATGTTCTGCACATGTACCCCAAAACCTAAAATGCAATAAAAAAATAAAAAAAAAAAGAAATTAACTAAAAAAGTGACCCCTTTGGTGGAATCTTTAGGTTTTTCTAAATATGAGATCATATCATTTGTAAATGAGGCCAATTTGTCTTCTTTTCCCATTTGGATGCCCTTTATTTTTTCTCTTGCCTGATTGCTCTGTCTAGGACTTCCAGTACTATGTTGAATGAAAATGAAAGTGAGTATCCCTTTCTTTTTCCAGATCTTAGAGGAAAGTCTTTCCATTTTTCCTCATTCAGTATGATGTTAGCTGTGAGTTTGTCATATATAGCTTTTAGTCTTTATTGTTTTTGAGGTATGTTACTTTTGTACTTAATTTGTTGAGAGTTTTTATTATAAGAAATTTTGAATAAAAAAATTATTTCATGGCAAATTTATTGATTTTTTTTTGAGATGGGAATCTCACTGTGTTGTAAGGCTAGTCTCAAACTTCTGAGCTCAAGTGATCCCTTCTGCCTCAGCCTCCAAAGTAGGGAGGACTTCAGGCACACTGTGCCCAGCTAAGAAATATTCTTTTTTGAGTGAAATAGTGTATGGGGGATGAATGGGGAACACATTTTTTCTTTTTCCTTATTCATTTCTTCATCTAGAAGTCACTTGCAGATGCCAGCATAACGTAAGGCACTAGCAACAAAAAGTGAATGAAATTTGCTTCCTTCCCTGAGCAACCCCCTAGTTCAGACTGGGAGACAGAGAACTGAATGAGTGATTCCATGGCAGTAGGGTTGGTGCTGGCTTGGATCTGTGTCCACAGTGCTGTGGCTACAGCAAGAAAGGGTGCACCCACCTTGTGTAGCTTGTTCTATTTAAGCTAGAATGAGGTTACCAGGAAGAGATGAGCCCATATTCTCCCAGGTAGAATGACCTATATACAAAGACCTGGAGAGGAAAACACATGCCATGTGTAGGGGATAGGTGATAATTTAATACACTTGGAATAGAAAGTATAGGGGTAGCAATGACTAGCAAAGAGTCTGACCAGCACCTGATAAAACTATGAAAGCAGCCCGGTGCAGTGGCTCATGCTTATAATCCCAGCACTTTGGGAGGCCAAGGCAGGTGGATCATGAGATCAGGAGTTCTAGACCAACCTGGCCAACATGGTGAAACCCCATCTCTACTAAAAATACAAAAATTAGCTGGGCATGGTTGCAGGTACCTGTAATTCCAGCTACTTAGGAGGCTGTGGCAGGAGAATTACTTGAACCCAGGAGGCAGAGGTTGCATTGAGCCAAGATCGTGCCACTGCACTCCAGCCTGGGTGACAGAGTGAGACTCTGTCTCAAAAAACAAACAAACAGAAAACACAAAAAACATGAAAGCTCTTTTGCATCACCCTTCTAAGAACACATTCTACTTTGTCACTGGCCTGCCAGACTTAAACCTAGGTGAGTACTTGCCTAAGGGAAAGATAGAAAGGAAAAGGGAGGGAGGGAAGGAAGGAAAGAGTAAAAAAAAACCCAAAAAAACCAAAACTGAAAAATTGTCCCCTCATGTTTCTGGTCTCTTAAAGTCCTCCATATTTCTAATATGCAAATCCAAAATTTACTGTAAAAACACAGCATAATTTGATGTTCTCAAACTAAAAATAGTTTATAAAATAATCTACAAAGGGGGATGAAAAAGTGTTATTTATATTTTGATGGATAAGTTTTAAGTTTCTTTTTCCTTCATCTTTCAAAGACTTAATTTCTTTTCCCATGTCCTTGTGAAATACAAATTACCTCATAAGTAATTACCTTTATCTGAATATTCATAAATGTGGAGATTGGTGTTGACAGTGGCTGCAGGTAGAGAAGCTCAAATTATTTTTCAAGATAAAGGTAATTTTTGGAATCAAGCCTGAGGATGATACTCTATTCCAGTTATTAGACACTGTTACCCCATTATGTTAATGGCTTCTTGTTTAATGATCGAGGTGAAATCGTGTTGCTGAAATATGATAGACAGACACACTGAAGGTCTTGCATAGCAGTCCTTGCCATATTCTGAACGCCAGCATTCTGGGTTCAGACAGCCTGGAGCTACTTCTCCTACCTCTATTCCTTTGCCTCTGCCTGTGCCTCCCCCAAGAATGTTAGAAAGACCATCTGTTTTGTGTGTTAAGCATGAGTTAACCCAGGGTTTTCTTTTATAGGGAGCCTTTTGGGGACTGATCCTAGGATTTCTGATTGGGGTTTCACGTATGATTACTGAGTTTGCCTATGGAACCGGGAGCTGCATGGAGCCCAGCAACTGTCCCACGATTATCTGTGGGGTGCACTACTTGTACTTTGCTATTATCCTCTTCGTCATTTCTGTCATCAGTATCGTGGTCATCTCCCTCCTCACCAAGCCCATTCCAGATGTGCATGTGAGTATCCATTTAGGGGATCTGTCCTTGTTTTGTGTTCATGATGCAATGTTCTTTAATTTTTAAAAAATTTTTCATTATTATGGGTACATAATAGTTGTATATAACTATGGGGTACATATAATGTTTTGATACAGACATATAATGATGAAATCAGGGTAATTTGGGTGTCCACTGCCTCAAGCATTTATTATTTATTTGTGTTAGGAACATTCCAATTCCACTCTTAGTTCTTTTAAAATATAGAATATGGTGGCTCATGCTTGTAATCCCAGCACTTTGGGAGGCCAAGGTGGGATGATCGCTTGAGTCCAGGAGTTTGGGATCAGACTGACAACATACTGAGACTCTGTCTTTAAATTATATATGTATATATAAAAAATAAATTATTATTTTATAATAATTTAATAATATATATAAAATAAATTAATGTTAAGCCTAGCCACCTTATTGTGCTACCAAATACTAGACCTTAATTCATTCTAACTGTATTTTTGCACCCATTAACCATCTCCACTCTGTCCTCCATCCCCTGCTGCTACCCGTCCTAGCCTCTAGTAACCATCGATCTACTCTTTATTTCCATGAGTTCAGTTTTTAAAAGTTTTAGCTCTCATGTATGAGTGAGAACATGAGAAATTTGTCTTTCTATGGCTGGCTTATTTCACTTAACATAATGGCTTGCAGTTCCATACATGTTGTTGCAAATGACAGGATTGCATTCTTTTTATGGTGGAATAATACTCTATTGTATATTTGTATGACGTTTTATTTCTTTTTTGTTTGTTTGTTTTCTTTTTTGAGACAGAGTCTTGCTCTGTTGCCAGGCTGGAGTGCAGTGGCATGATCTCGGCTCATTGCAACCTCTACCTCCTGGGTTCAAGCAATTCTCCTGCCTCAGACTCCCAAGTAGCTAGGACCACAGGCGCACGCCACCACACCCAGCTACTTTTTGTATTTTTTAGTAGAGATGGGGTTTCATCATGATCTCTATCCCTTGACCTTGTGATCCACCCACCTCAGCCTCCCAAAGTACTGGGATTACAGGCGTGAGCCACCACGCTCAGCCTGTACCACATTTTCTTTATCCGTTCATTTGTCAATGGACACTTAGATTGATTCCACATCTTGGTTATTGTGGATAGTGCTGCAGTAAATATGGGAGTACAGATATCTCTTTGATATACTGGTTTACTTTCTTTTTGGATATATATCCAGTAGTAGAATTGCTGGATATATATGGTAGCTCTATTTTTAGTATTTTGAGGAACTTCCATAGTGTTCTTCATTGCAACTGTACTAATTTACATTCCCACCAACAGGGTTTGAGGGTTTCCCTTTCTCCCCATCCTCACCAGCATTCATTATTGCCTGTCTTTTTGGTAAAAGCCATTTTAAATGGGATGAGACGATATCTCATTACTGTTTGATTTGCATTTCTCTGATGATTAGCGATGTTGATGTGCTACAACATGCTTGGTTAGCCTCAGCGAAATTATTTATCTTACAATCATATAACTTGCCATTGGTTTCATGTGGAAGGGTACATTCCAGGAAACATGGTGTGCCAACAGGCTGATATCAAGCCCATGTCTTTAATGGGAGTCCTCACAGTTGTCTACGATTTATTCCAGAGCGTATTCTCTGAAACCTGCTTCCCAAGTGACAGCTCAGGTGTGCAAGATCATACGGGTGGGACAGAGCTACCTGGCTTAGAAGCCTGTGTTCCAAATAGAAACTGATATTTCTTGTAACTGTCCCATGGTCAAAGATTTTAAAGGTCCCAGCAAAGAACATACCTAGTTGCAAGAATCAGTCTACTCAGGGAAATCTAAAATATAGTTTTCCTCTTGATGTTTTTCTAAATCAATCCACCAAAAATTGACCATAGGATGTAAAACATTTCTAACAATATCAAAGTCTAATTGATTTCAAGACTTCAAAAGTTGCAATTACTCTTCTTTAACTCTAGATGCCCCCACTGGTTTAGAATTTATTCGTAGCTCTCCTAGTTTAGACAAAGATGGCCAATTACAGGCCATTTTTATTAATAGTCTGGTAACTCAACACAGATTTCCAGGTTTCCAAAAGAACAGAGCCAGAAAGTTAACCCAAGGTCATGTTTATTTCTAAAGAAACAAAGAAGGATTTTTGTTAATCCTTTACTTTACTCATGCATACACATACAAATGTCTTACGGAAGGGCTTATGGAATTCCTAAGAGATCTTCAACTTCATTGCCAAAATTTTAAGAGCAGTGACAAACCTTAATGTCAAACAAGGACTACTTTTATAGGGGCAGAACTGCATCACATCTATTGGCTGCCAAAGGCTTTCTTTGTGTTGTATCAACTGCTGCCTCATGTCTCAAGTCTTTGAAAGTATCACAGTTCCGGGAGAGAGATCCAAGATGGCCAATTACTAGCAGCTCAGGATTGTAGCTCCCAGTGAAAGCACAGAGAACGAGAGGACACCACACTTTCAGACGAATTTTTGTTGCTCATAGACCAGGAGATTCCCAGTGGAGGAGTCCCACGGGTCGCCAGCGTGACTCTTGTGGCTGGCGCGGCAGTTTTGCTGGTGCCTTGGCTTGGCAGTTCTTGGTGTAGAGTAAACGGGACTGGGTCCCCTTGTGGTCAACGTTTGGAGCTCCTGAAAGGCAGAGTCACCTATTTAGCTGATTGAAAAAGGGATCCAAGAAGGAAGCCAGACCGGAGATTCCCAGGCAGAAAAGCACCATCAATCTTAACACCACTGTTTTAGCCAGAACAGTGGGTTGCTCAGATTCTGGCACTGGGAATTAACAAGTTGGCCATCCACTCAGAGACCTAATTTGAAAATTGGTAATTACAAAGACCACAGATGGATAAATTTACAATGACAGGAAGAAACCAGCATAAAAAGGCTGAGAATACTCAAAATCAGAATGCCTCTCCCTCTACAGAGGATCACAGTTCCTCATCAACAAGGGAACAAGGCCTGATGGAGAATGAGTGCATTCCAATAACAGAATTAGGCTTCAGAAGGTGGATAATAAGAAACTTCTGTGAGTTAAAAGAACATGTTCTAGCCCAATGTAAAGAAACTAAGAACCTTGAAAAAAGGTTTGATGAAATCCTAAGGAGAATAGACAATTTAGAGAGGGATATAAGTGAATTAATGGAACTGAAGAATACAATATGAGAAATCTGCAAAGTATGCACAGGTTTTAACAGTCAAATTGATCAAGCAGAAGACAGGATATCAGAGGTCGAAGACCAACTTAATGAAATGAAATGAGAAGACAAGATTAGAGAAGAAAGAGTAAAAAGGAATGAGCAAAGTCTCCAAGAAATATGGGACTATGTAAAAAGACCTAATTTACATTTGGTAGGTGTACCTGAATGTCATGAAGAGAATGATTCCAAGCTGGAAAATATTCTTCAGGATATTATTCAGGAAAACTTTCTAACCTAGTAAGGCAGGATAATACTCAACTCCAGGTAATACAGAGAACACCACAAAGATATTCCTCAAGTAGAGCAACCCCAAGACACATAATCGTTCGATTCACCGGGGTTGAAATAAAGGAGGACATTCTAAGGGCAGCTAGAGAGAAAGGTCAGGTTACCCATAAAGGGAAGCCTATCAGACTTACAGCAGATCTTTCAGCAGAAACCCTACAAACTAGAAGAGAGGGGGGTCAATATTAATATCCTCAAAGAAAAAAATTTTCAACCCAGAATCTCATATCCAGCCAAACTAAGCTTCATAAATGAAGGAAAAATAAAATTTTTCACAAACAAGCAAGCACTCAGAGATTTCATCACTACCAGGCCTGCTTTACAAGAGCTTCTGAAAGAAGCACTATACACAGAAAGGAACAACCAGTATCAGTCAACCCAAAAACTTACCAAAAGGTAAAGAGTATCTCCATAATGAAGAATCTGTATCAACTAATGGACAAATAGCCACCTAGCATTAAATGACAATATTAAACTCATAAATATCAATATTAATCCTAAATTTAAATGGATTAAATGCCCCAAGCAAAGACACAGACAGACAAATTGAATAAAAAGTCAAAACCTATCGGTACACTGTATCCAGATTCGTCTCATAAGCAAGGATACACAAAGACTCAAAACAAAGGGTTGGTGGAAGACTTACCAATCAAATGGAGAGAAAAAAAACAGGAGTTGTAACTTTCGTCTCAGAAAAAATAAACTTTAATAGTAACAAAGACTAAAAGAAACAAAGAAGGACATTATATAATGGTAAAAGGATCAATGCAACAACAGGAGTCAATGATCATAAATATATATGCACCCATTATAGGAACACCCAGATACATAAGACAAGGTCTTAATGACTTGTAAAGAGACTTGGACTCCCGCACAATAATAGCGGGAGACTCTGACACCACATTGTTAATATTCGATGGATCAATGAGATAGAAAATTAACAGGGACATCTATGATTTGAACTCAGACCTGGAACAAGTAAACTCAGTGAATATTTATAGAATTCTTCACCCCAGGTCCACAGAGCATACATTTTTCTCAGTATCACATTACACCTATTTTGAAAGTGACCACATAATTGGAAGTAAATCACTCTTCAGCATTTGCATAGCATTTCACAGACTTAAATGAAATATTGGTTGGCTGTTTGTTATTTTCTTCCCTTATTCCTTCCTGTCTCCCTGTTAAGCACAATTGTCAGCATAAAAGAGGTTTTTAATACCTATTTTTAGATTGCATTCCAGCCTGGACAACAGAGCAAGACTCCTGTTCTCTCTTCCCCTTTCTCTTTCTTTTCTTTCTTTAAAAAAAAAGTATCACAGTCCCAAACACATTTCTAGTTCATGCCTTAGACCAAGTTCATGCTCTAGATCAAGTTTTTGGTTCATGCTCTTGACTATATCAATAGAAACTGTGTCCCCTGCTCTACCATATTCTATTTTGGCTCATTATTCTAGATTCTAATCCCCATAATGTGACATAGTAAAAAAATCTGAACTTATACTCCTAACCTGGACAATGGCTGTCTTTGTTGCTTCCTACTGCCAGTGCTAAAAGGAACAAATTTATTTATCATGCAAACATGAAAGAGTTCATTCAACAAATATTTCTCTATGAGGCAGCCTTTTGGCTCTGAATATACATGTATCATAGAGGCTAATGTATATATGTATATTACTTTCATCTAAGTTACCAATATTTTTAGAGATAATGTTGTGGATGGGAATTGTTATGTATGTCCTTGTTGGTACTGAGAGGCCACATTCCCTTCCCTTCCTTTATGCATATCTCTTTGCTTCCCTAACTTCTTGTCCCAAGATGCTATTTGGATCTTTCTGTTGACCTGCTCTGCCTTCTCTGCAGCTTTATCGTCTGTGTTGGAGTCTGCGCAACAGCAAAGAGGAGCGTATTGACCTGGATGTGGAAGAGGAGAACATCAAAGAAGACCCTAAGGAGACCATTGAAATAGGTGATTTATGACCCAGAGCAGATCCCCAAACCATGAAACTTACTTCTACATGATAACTTTACTGAAGCCTTCCCTAAATGACTATCAGAGCTCAGATGTCTCCCTTCCAGGGTAGTGAGGAGCAGAGTGGGGATGAAATGGATAAGTGGTTTGGGGGAAGTTCACTCTGAGTTCAAGGGGAGGAAAGGGTACAGAATCATTCCAGCTCCCTCACCCTTTATATTTAAACAAATTTTGTGGGTACACAGTAAGTTATATATTTATGAGGTACATGAGATGTTTTGATACAGGCATGCAGTGTGAAATAAGCACATCATGGAGAATGGGATATCCATCCTCTCAAGCATTTATCCTTTGAGTTGCAAACAATCCAGTTGCACTGTTAATTTTAGAATGTACAATTATTATTGACTATAGTCGTCCTGTTGTGCTATCAAATAGTAGGTCTTAGTCATTCTTTCTATTTTTTTTGTACCCATTAACCATCCCTACCCCATCCCCAGATCCCCACTACCCTTCCCAGCCTCTGGTAACCATCTTCCTGCTCTCTATGTCCATGAGTTCAATTGTTTTGATTTTTAGATCTCACAAATAAGTGAGAACATGTGATGTTTGTCTTACTGCGGCTGCCTTATTTCACTTAACATAATGATCTCCAGTTCCATCCATGTTGTTGTAAATGACAGGGTCTCATTCTTTCTTTATGTCTGAATAGTACTCCATTGTGTATATGTACCTATTTTCTTCATTCATTCGTCTGTTGATAGACATTTAGGTTGCTTCCAAATCTTAGCCATTATAAATAGTGTTGTAACAAACATGGGGCTGCAGATATCTCTTCAATATACTAATTTCCTTTCTTTTGGGTATATACCCAGCAGTGGGATTGCTGAATCATATGGTAGCTCTATTTTTAGTTTTTTGAGGAACCTCCAAACTGTTCTCCATATTGTTGGTGGTCATACTAACTTTCATTCCCACCAACAGTGTACAAGGTTTCCCCTTTTCTCCACATCCTCATTAGCATTTATTATTTCCCATCTTTTGGGTATAATCCATTTTAACTGTGATGAGATGATATATCATTATAGTTTTGATTGCATTTCTATGATTAATGATGTTGAGCACCTTTTTATGTACCTGTCTGCCATTTATATATTGTCTTTTGAGAAACGTCTGTTCAAACCTTTTGACCATTTTTGATTGGATTCTCACCCTTCATATTTGACAGTGCTCAGTGAGTAAGTGTGGGTGAGGAATTTGCCACCCTGTCTTGATTTGGGGAATGGCTGGGGATAAGAGAAGAGTTGAGGCTGGGTGTGGTGGCTCACGCCTGTAATGCCAGCACTTTGGGAGGCTGAGGTGGGCAGATCACTAGGTCAGGAGTTTGAGACCAGGCTGGCTAACATGGTGAAATCCTTTCTCTACTAAAAATACAAAAAATTAGCTGGGCATAGTGGCACATGCCTGTAGTCCCAGCTACTCAAGAGGCTGAGGCAGGAGAATTGCTTTAACCCAGGAGAAGGAGGTTGCAGTGAGCTGAGATCGCACCACTGCACTCCAACCTGGGCAACAGAGCAAGACTCCAACTCAAAAAAAAGAAAAAGAAAAAGAAAAAAGAGTTTGAGTTCTTTTGACATAGAGGACAGATGAAACCAAGGGTATGGTCAGTTCTAGTGACATCAAGATGAGATAGAGGCCCTTGGGATCTTATGTTGTACTGGCTTACAATATCAAATATAGAAGATCCAATTTCTCAGGAAGACCAATAAATAATGCATAGTCAGTGCCCGAAGGCTTATCCTTGAAGTTAATGCTTTCTTCTACTTTAGTATTGTAACCTTCCTCTCTACATGGGGGACTTGCACATGTGGAGGATAATTGTGGAGGTGTGTGGTGTGCAGAGATATGAGGGCTCAAAGTCATACGTGCTTTACCTGGTACTGGGCTGGAGGCCTCATCGTCACTCCATCTGAAGGAGAGCGCAGGTGTAGCGCAGAACAAGTTCTGAATCTGGCCATCAGGAACGTCATAGAATTCTAACTCAGGAAAGAGCCCTAGAGATCATTTGGTCTTATCACCTCATTTTATAGACATGTAAATTGAGGCTTAGGGAGGGAGAGGCTGTGCCTAAGTTCTCAACTTTGCTACAATCTGCTCTTGATCTTTGAGGACCTTTCAGTTCTAAAACCTGTGACTACAAATACCGGAGGGAGTGTGGAGCCACAGCAGCTGGCCATGGTGCTGAAAACAGTCAGCCCCTTCCTGCTTCCCCAGAGCAGGCAGGCAGGAACATGCCCTCTACTTCTCCTGCTTCCAAAAATGTCTCCACACTGTGTGAGAATATCATAGATTTTAAAGGGTTAGATTTTAAATGGATTAGGAGTATTTTGAGTGTCGAAGGTCTTATTGTGGAAGAAGAGATTATTTTTATGCCAGAAGGCAGACTTAACAATGGTGGGTGAAAAGAATTCATCCAATTTTAACTCAGAGTAAGGAGTCAGAATAGTGCAGAGATGGTTTCTGAGATTTGGAATCATGAAGAAATGGAATTGAAATATGAATTCTCTTCCTACTATGCTGGGAAAGTGATTCCATTGTTCTAAAGCTCAGATTCTTCACATAAAAGTATTCTAAATGGAAACCCATACCTCTTATGCTCTGCCATAAGAATTGGCTATAATTATCACCATCATGATTGCTTTGAAGGAATAGTTTTCTAATTGAGTTGGTCTGGGCAGGGATGAGCAGTATGTATACATTTATCAAGGATTCTATAGAGGGAACATCCATACTGGCTAGAGAATTGATTTGGTATCTCTGAAGTTCATGGCAGCACTCAAATTCTGTCTGTTTCCATGAACTTAGGTTGAAATCAGACTGAACATCCTATTCTATTAAAGCACAATAAACTAAATTCTCTTGAGGGCTTTTACAGACCATGGGTGTCACACTCACCATTCTCTAGGAAGCATCAACACAAGAAGCCTTTCAGGTACATCATTATCCTCATATCATCACCACCACCACCACCACCACCACCACCACCATCATTGATAATGATATGATCATCACATATTTTAATTATAAACACTTTAGTGATTCATTTCAGCACTGCATCATCCTCTTAAGGCAGATAATACAAGTACAATTCTTCCAATTTTCCTTCCCTCCCCAAACAGGAAAATGAGACAGAGAATTTCCTAAGGCCATTTAACTTTTTAATTGACCCAGAAAGCCATGTATTTCTCACTTGAGCTGGTCAGTGATCCTAGCTTCTTACTCCTTCTTCCCCATTCTGCTATTCTGGTGGAGTTAGTCAAAAGGGAGAGGTGTGAGTGTGTGAGAGAAAGGAGAGAATGGAAAGAGACTTACACCTCTTGACATCTACAGTGTCAAGGGACACAGTTTAGGAGTATTTTGAGTGTGGAAGAGGGTCTACCACAATAAGAGAGGCTCCACCACAATAAGAAGTAGAAGCTCTCTCATTAAATCATTAAATTCTTCATTTATAGAATGAAGAAGCTATTATTTATCTAATTCTATTACTGAAGATAAGGGATGTGAATTCACAACACCATAAAGCTAGGTTTTGGTCCCAACTCTATGGTCTCATGTGTGAACTTGGTCACTGAGATTCTTGCTGGTTCTAAAATTCTGTGAGGCTGGGCCTGGTGGCCCACATCTGTAATTTCAGCACTTTGGAAGGCCAAGGTGGGAAGATTGCTTGAGTCCAGGAGTTCAAGACCAGCCTGGGCAACATACTGAGACCCTGACTCTACAAAAAAATTAAAAAATTAGCTGGGCATGGTGGCATGCACCTATAGTACCAGCTTAGCTACTAAGAAGGCCAAGGTCGAGGGATCGTTTGGCCCAGGAGTTCATGGCTGCAGTGAGTTATGATGACCACTACTGTACTCCAGTCTGGGCAACAGAGCAAGACTCTGTCTCTTAAAAAATAAAGATAAAATTCAGTGACTTGTAAAATTAGGAAAGTGCTTTGCAGGGTCTGTGACTGTGGTGCTGAATGCACAATGGGCTTGATCTCTTATCTAGTGAGTGGCAGAGTGGGTATTTGAAATGAGGTTTGTGTACCTCCAGGGCCATGCCTGGGCTCAGTTCCCTTGGTGGGCATCCGAGTTGAGTACCAGGGCCATGTGTGGATGGTTTGATTAAGCAGTGTTGACATGTGACATTAGATCCTAACCCTGGGAAGTATTGATCACTGCTGCACTGCATCAGGAGCTGTTCAGACCAATTCTTACCACCTGGCTGGATTTAGAAAGGACAGATGTAGCCAAAGCACTCCTGAGTCATGCCAGCCAGATTGCTTTCTGGTGATGTAGTGAAGAGATATGAGATTTTGTGTTTCAGAGGTGGGTCCTTCCTATGGCACAATTCCCCAGCCCATTATTAATGTGCCTTTATCATAAACTATTATTTGAGCTGACTGTTCCAAATAAAAATAAATTTGCATTGGGCCTGATAGAGATAAAGCTTAGCCTAGCTGGTCCTAAATATGTAGATAGTAAGATTGTTTTGTCATTAAGTTTATTGGAACATTTTCTACTATTTTCATTCCTTAAAACAAGAAAATATGGGGGAAATTTCTTGTTTTGAGGAAATTTCTGCAGAATAGCAGGTGCTTCATGGTGTGGCATCTCCCCTGGAAACTTTTCTAGTCTGTCCTACTTCTGTGTCCAGTAATTCTTCTATGCTTTTGCCCAGACACAGAAGTTCCTGAGGAGAGGAAAGGATTCTTCAGGAGAGCCTATGATCTGTTTTGTGGGCTGGAGCAGCAGAGTGCACCCAAGATGACCGAGGAAGAGGAGAAAGCCATGAAGATGAAGATGACAGACACCTCTGAAAAGCCTTTGTGGAGGACAGTGGTGAACATCAATGGCATCATCCTGCTGACCGTGGCTGTCTTTTGCCATGCATATTTTGCCTGAGTCCTACCTTTTGCTGTAGATTCACTATGGCTGGGCTCTTACTCACTTCCTTTTAATCTTGTCCTGTGGTATTGAAGGGAAACCAGCCAGTTGTAAATTTTGCCCAGGTGGATAAATGTGTACATGTGTAATTACAGGCTAGCTGGAGGAAAATCATTAGTTTGCTGTTAACTTAAGCATTTGAAGCTGGTGTGATGCAGTGATCTGTACCTACTGAAGCTGCAGAAGGAAAGTCCACTCAGTCACATCCAGAAAAAGGTAGACTAAGAATCAGAAGCCATGTGATGTCTGATGTGAGTCTGTCTCAATGTGATTTGTAATCCTTGAATATTGTTTTAAGAGTTTTGGTCACAATGGTTCCCGATACTTTCCCTCTTCGTCCTCCTCTCCATTTTTTTTAAAAAAGAAAACTATTTCTCCCCCATCATATCCCTCTTGAGTTTGAGTTTTGCCTGGACTTTCCCTCTCAAGTGTGTCAATCTGATAAACTGAGGAATGCATGGAAGCTGAGGATGGAGCTTGATGGGCTCCCTGTCCTGGGTGTTTGCTCTTTGAAGTGGAGGCCTGAGGAAGGTAGAACTTCCATAGAAGGGAGGGACTTAGGCACCAGCCTCAGGCTTGTTGGGGAGGCAGATAGCCTGAGTCCAGGACATTTTCTGGGTTTGTTCAAATGTCCATTGTACTTCCCTGTGTTTGGGATTCCACTCATTTTGGCATTCACAGTGCCTAGAATGTCTTAGACTTTCAGCAATGCTTGTTGAATAAATGAATGACATAGGCATTTATTTATAAATCTTTGCTTTCTTTTTACATGAGCCTGGTCCTTAGTTAACCTCTTCTTGTGGCTGCACAAAGTATGCCCACTGGTTACTAATGAATTGGGATGCATTTGCCACAGGCCACTCTGCCTGCCTCATGGTGCTGAGGTTGACAGAAGGGGCTTAGAAACTGACACTTTGTCATGTGAGAGAGCAAATGTGCCTACTAGGGGCATGTGTAAACTCAAAGCAGCTGCACAACTGCACTCTTCCAAAACATTGAAGTCATTAGCCTGAGATCATCCTCCCTGTGAGTTCACATGACCATAACTCTTCCTTTCGTAGTTGTCTGAAATTGGTGTTCATGGATTGACAAAGGTTAGGGTAGGTGATCTCTGTTCCGAGTGGTGGCACCCAATACTTCTAGCTGACAGATGTGTATTTTTTGTTGAACCATTTTCTTAGGAAGAAATTCTTTTATTTAAATTAAACTAATTATTTTAATTATACCTATGAAATCTCAATTATACTGTAATATAATCCCATTGAAAAAATTATGATGTTAGTATTGACTGGCTTCAGGCTAGCTTAAAAAAAGCTGAGAGTGTGGTTCCTGGGTATAAACACGGTTCAAGAGGTAAAGGGATGGCTTTTTCTCATAGAAGTAAGGAAACCCATAGGGCACTATTTGTAATGCCTTCTCAGTCCCCTGAATCTAGGCAGAGGAGAGGGAATAGTGGAGAATTTCACATGGCTGGCAGTCCCTAAAGGGCTCCATCTGACATGGAGCTTGTGCTATGTTTTGAATTTTGAGAGGCTAAAGGGAGAGGAAGGAAAGCCACTGGATGAAGTGGATAGTGGAAAATGTCTGGATTGTCCTGGATTTGGTTTCTGGCTTTGCTAATGATTTGCTGTGTATATTTTGGTAAATTATTTTGTCTCAACTGTGTATTTTTTTTTGAAAAATGAAGGCCTTGGTGCTTATAGCATCTACCTACCTCCTGTGGTTGTGATGATGACACTTTGAAACAGGATGGGAGATACATATGTGAAAGATGCCATACAGGTGCTATATTAACCTGCATTATAGTCCCATAAATTAAAATGTATTGCTTTGATAAAAATAAAAACATTGAAACACCATAACATCCTGATTCCCTGTTTTCCAGAGATTCTAGACAAATACTAAATATATCTATGGTGAGCTTAGTTAGCACAAGATATGAGTTAGAAAGTAAGAGGACAGGATAGTTGATAATGGGATCTAGCAACTTGAACAATTTAAAAAAATATAGCTGTTTAGAGATTATTTCAACTGCAAAGCCACTAGTAAACATGAGGTGAATAACTCTACCTGTACAATATCCTGTTAGAATAGGTTAAGTCACTTAGGGTGAGCAAATGATAAATTATACTACAATAATTTCCGGGGCACTATTCATTTCCTCAAATTGAAGATGGCATTCCATATGAGGTTGAGTGGCTGCTTATCAATGCTCTGTTTATAGAACTGAAAAATCTTGCCCTATAAGGCAAAAAGCTTCTTTAAATATAGATGCCTATTTCAAAAGGAGTCTCTCAAAATGCAAAGCCAGGCCTCCGTCCCTACAGAGTGAAGTTGGTACTGGGGCCTTTGACCTACATGGGAGCCCTGCTTGCTTGTGTGTAGCTGCGCCAGGCATTGATGTTCCCTCAGTGACATTCCTACTCTGGAACTCACTGGAACACACTCTTTCCTAGTGCTGAAGTCACCATCTCCTAAAAGAGGCGCTGCAGCTTGTGTTTTCTTGTCCTGCTTCATAAAAGTGAACCTTTAGTGAAAAGCATAGGTGTGCTTGCCTGGCAGAGAGGGGTTTCTTAACATCCTTCCCATTCCATCCAAAGAAAATCTCACCTAACCTCCAAGTTGCAATTTGATGGATGAAATTGTTTCAGTGAGGTGGCATTGTCTTGGTAGTTTGGTGGGAATGGGATTAGGGAGGTATTGACCTTCAATGGGGCCAGTGTTGTGTGACTGGCTCCGAGGGACTCAGGTAAGTACCATTCAGTCCCAGAGCCCCATGTTGCATCCCCAACCCAGCCAGCTTTTGAAGTCCTGGGAGGCACTCAGTGAAAGAGCAGGCAATTTTTGACCATTTATCCCCTGCTTGGAAAACTGGTAGCAAAAACCCATCTAATAAAGGGAGCTTCTTCACACAAGAGTGCTGGTGGCAGACACACATACAGTTCAGAACCAGACCAAGGGCTGCTTAGAGTAGTGATTTTCAGACTATAACTTGCATCGGAAACCCCCCGGAGGGCTTGTTGAAACACAGATTTTTGGCATGCACCCCCTCCCCTGACATTTCTGATTTTTAGGTCTGGAATAGGGCCTGAGAATGTGCATTTCTTTTTTTCTTTTCTTTTTTTGAGACAGAGTCTTCTTCTGTTGCCCAGGCTGGAGGTCAGTAGTGTGATCTTGGCTCACCACAGCCTCTGCCTCCCAGATTCAAGTGATTCTCCTGCCTCAGCCTCCCGAGTAGCTGGGACTACAGGCGTACACCATTCTGCCCAGCTACTTTTTGTATTTTTGGTAGAGACAGGGTTTCACTATGTTGGCCAAGCTGGTCTTGAACTCCTGACCTCATGATCCACCCACCTCAGCCTCTCAAAATACTGGGATTACAGGTGTGAGCCAACACGCCTGTCTGATAAAGTGCATTTCTAACAAGTTCCCAGTTGATTTTGTTGCTGCTGGTCTGGTGAACACATTTTGAAAACCACTATTTAGAGTTAACTTCTAAAGGGGCTTTACTTCCTCACCAATGCTGGAAGAATGGAGGAAACTTTTCCCCAGGTCCCTTTGAGATTTATAGAGATGTGTCTTTTCTGAAACCAAAGGTGTGTAGGTATGGCTGAGGTGCAGTTGCATTATAGCACCAAAAGACAGAAAAATTTGACCCCATTGACTTTTAGGGCCCATCTACTTAATTCTGGCCTCTCCTCTACATGTCCAATGCCTGTTACTTTTTTTTGAAATTACTTTTATTTTTAAATTTACAAATAATAATTATATGTACTTATGGCATGCAACATGATGTTTTTATGTATGCATACATTGTGGAAATGACTAAATTAAGGTAATTAACATCTATTACATTTTTTTATGGTGAGAACACTTACAATTTACTCTCAGCAATTTTCAAGTATATATTATATTACTATCAACTATAATTAATATGTTGTACAGTAAATTTTCTGAACTTATTCCACCTGTCTAACTAAAACTTTGTATCTGACCAACATCTCCCCAGCCCCTTCCTCCCCCAGCCCTTGATAACCATCATTCTACTCTCTGCTTCTGAGTTTGACTTAAGATTCTACATATAAGCAGGATCATATGTTATTTGTCCTAGACTTCTCTATACATAATTGCCTCTTTCCTAGTTATCTGAGAAGTCTATTAATATAGAGAAAAACTGGCATCAAAAGAGCTCTTTCTAAACCTCTTGTCTACAAGAAATGTCTCTTGTCACACGGTACTTTCTCCCTTCTTGATTTTGCATCAGTCCAATGCTGATCTATCCTTGCTCTGGATTGCACAAACTTGTACCTTCTTGGGTATCTTGTGTCACTAATTCCCCCTTCTCTTCCAATTTTAAATGTTTTCTTTATTAGTTCTCACCTCCAGTTCACTCTTTCCCCACTGCTGACACTCAGCTTACTCACACACATCCCCAGTCACTGAGTTGCCACAGGCAATGGCAGTTGTGGCTTTTCTGCCTTCTTGGCAAAATATGGCTCTGTTCATTGGGGTATTAGGTATTAAGTACCTATTGATCAGGCACTGTGCTAGGTGCAGCCATTACAGAAATGAGCAGCAGACATCATCTCCATTCCAATGCGACTCACCAGATCAGCCATTTCTGATTAACACTCAGGTGCATTAACTCTCACTTTTCACTTTTGCAGGCATTCCTTAATACCACTTAGATCTCCCTATTCCCCAAGTTCCTTTCTTTCCAAACTCCCTCCCCTTATTAGACACCGGAAGTCACCTGAGGAACAGTCCTTCAGTAGACACTGTTGGCCAAAGGTTATCTGGCCCAGAAATGTGTTTCAACTGGACAGAGACCCTCAGCTCTAGGCAACTGCAGCACTCCTGAGAGCAGGGCAGGTGGGGAGGGACATAAGTTCCAGTGCAGGGTGAGCTCAGCAAAGGGATGGGGACTGATTCCAGAATCCAGGTCATCCTTGCAGCTCTTTGTATGCCATAAATATGTACAGTTACTACATGTTAACTTACAATAATGAAAAAGCAAATAAATGAACAAGACCCAAGTCTGAGTCATCTAAAATCATAAGGAACTTTATTTATTTATTTATTTTGAGACAAGGTCTCTCTCTGTTGCCTAAGCTGGAGTGCAGTAGAGTGATCATAGTTCACTTCAGCCTTGACCTCATGGGCTCAAGCAATCCTCCCACCTCAGTCTCCACAGCAGCTGAGACTACAGGTGCCCGACACCATACAAGCGCAATTTTTCTATTTTTTGTAGAGACAAGGTTTCACCATATTGCCCAGGCCAGTCTTAAACTTCTGGGTTCAAGCGATCTGCCCACCTTAACCTCCCAAAAGTGCTGGGAATACAGGCAGGATTCACCACACCCAGCCAAGGAATCATATTAAAGCTGACCAAAATTGGCCCTCTTTTTTTTTAAAGAAGAAATTCATTTATTATGTGATAATGTGTAAGCTAGGGAAAATACTAAGATTTTATTCAAATTACTTGAAATTTGAAAACAAAGCTGTAAAGATCCCACTACACAGAAAGAGGTTAATAAGAAAAGATTCAGGGTTGATACAAATGAAAGAAAGTGCAATTAACTTCATGGGTAACAATAATTTATTTCTTTCTTTCCTTTTTTTTTTTTTTTTTTGAGATGGAGTCTCGCTCTGTTGCCCAGGCTGGAGTGCAGTGACAGTCTTGGCTCACTGCAACCTCCACCTCCCAGGTTCAAGCAGTTCTCCTGCCTCAGCCTCCTGAGTAGCTGGGATTACAGTCAGCTGCCACCATGCCTGGCTAATTTTTTTATTTTTTATTTTTAGTAGAGATGGGGTTTCACCATGTTGGCCAGGCTGGTCTCAAACTCCTGACCTTGTGATCAACCCACCCCGGCCTCCCAAAGTGCTGGGATTACAGCCGTGAGCTACCGTGCTCGATCTTTCATGGGTAACAATTTCTATTTGAGAACGTAAGTACCACAAGAAAATATTCCCTGGTTTTTGATTCTGACTTTTATCCTAACACTCTGTAAAGTACCCAAAATTCAACAAGAATTGAATGGTCATTTGTCACAATTTTCAGGTATTCCTGTGAATCATTAATTTTTTTTCAAACCCGAAGATAAGTGGAAATAAACAATCTGTACAACAAACTACCTTGACATGAGTTTGCCTACATAACAAACCTGCACATGTACTGTAAACCTAAAAAATATTACCTAGAATTTGCTTAATGGATGCATGCACCTCTTACCTTTAAGTCTGATGTACATGAATTTATACCATTTTGCAAAACTGCAAGTGCAATCCTATTTTAGGATTATAAGCAAAGCTTGAAGCACATAACATATTACAGAAACTGCCTTTATTGACAGCTGATGGAAACATTTCTCAAATAACGTTGTGAATTTAATATGTTAGATCTAATTTAATATAATCGCAATTTGGTCTTTTATTTTTATTTATTTATTTTTTTAGAGATGCGGTTTCACCATATTGGCCAGGCTGAACTTGAACTCCTGACCTCAGGTGATCCGCCTGCCTCGGCCTCCCGAAGTGCTGGGATTATAGGCGTGAGCCACCGCGCCCGGCCTTTACTTTCATATTAAAGAAAAAAGTATACTGTAAGGATGAAGGATTTTACTAAAGTTATGGTTAACTGGAGATATATCACTAATAAAAACCTTGTTCCCTGCTATAATTAAATCAAAATTGGGTTAAGAGGCATGGCCTCTTAAAAAAGTGTGAAGAGGAGGGAGGGAGACTCTGCATTGCCAATAAAAAGCCCTCATCAGCTACTTGGGAGGCTGAGGCAGGAAAATCATTTGAACCTGTGAGGCAGAGGTTGCAGTAAGCTGAGATCATGACACTGCACTCCAGCCTG